TGCTAGTCTCGAACTCACAGAGATCCACCTGCCTCTGCCTCCCAGGTGCTGGGATTAAAGGCGTGCGCCACCACACCCGGCTAGATTTCAATTTGTGTGAGAGAATGAAAAAAGATGGTGAAAGTTTGGCAAGATGGCTCAGCAGGTACTGATACTTGCAGCCAAGTCTGATGACCTAATTCAGATCCCCAGATCCCTGAACCCACATAGTAGAAGGGAAGAACTGACCCTCACGAGTTGTCCTCTGACCTCCACATGCAAAGAAGGCCATTTGTAGCAAGAGAACTCCACACAAACATCTTAAAAGAAACGTCTTTTTTTTTTTTTCTTTTTTCTTTTTTGGTCTTTTTGAGACAGGGTCTCCCTGTAATGTAACCCCAGCTGGCCTGGAACTCACTATGTAGACCAGGCTGGCCTTGAACTCACAGAAACCCACCTGCCTCTGCCTCCTGCATGCTATGATTAAAGGCCTGTGCCACCATACCCACCTGTCTTCTATTTTGTTTTCTGAGGCAAGGTCTTATCTTTTTTGAAACAGGGTCTCCCCGTAGCCCCAGCTGGCCTGAACACACTATGTAGACCAGGCTGGCCTTGAACTCACAGAGATCTGCCTGCTTCTGCCTCTTGAGTGCTAGGATTAAAGGCATGAGCCACCTCGCCCAGCAAGAAATTTCTTTTTAAAACGGAGGCGCTATGCAACACAAGCAGCTAAGGCAATAAGTAACTCAAGATTACCAAAGGATACAGGCCAGCCAACTCCTTACTTGTTATATAGCACAATGTCTGGCTTCCAGATCTTCTCTGCAGGGACCCGCATGAACTCCACCCCTTGGTAGTCAGAGGGCTTCCACTTCAGCCTGTAGTCATTCCAGATCTGGTAGAAAGAGGCAGGAAGTGGAGGAGACAGTGGAAGGAACAGCCAGGCTTTACTTCTGACACAGCATCGTGGTCATCATGGTGACAGCCACCCCTCCCTTGAGCCACTGAGCTATCTCCCTGCTGCATACTGTGTTGACCCAAATCCTAGCACGGGGGCAGCAGGCCAAATAGCATGGGCCGAGTCTACAGGTCACCCTTGCTTAGGGAGCCAGCCCTCGTGACTGGGGAGCTCAGCTCTCATCAAGTAAATAGGAACCATGAATCAGGGCCTTCTCTGGTCACTGCAAGTTAAGGTCCAGCCTTATGTACTGTACTTCTAACTGGTTCATACATAAAGCTTCTACTATTTATGTACCTTGAAATCATTCTCCATGCCAGGTGTAGTGGCAGGAGTTTAAGGCAGGAGGATTGGGAGTTCGAGGCCAGCCTAGACTACATAGGGAGTTCCAGGTCAGACGGGGCTATAATATGAGACTCTGTCTCAAATAAAAAGAATGAGGGATGCAGGAGATGGCTCAGTGAATGAAGCACTTGTAGTGTAAGTATGGGGGCTGAAGTTTGGGTTCTCAGCACTCACAAAAAGCCGGCTCCCACATTTTCCATAATTCCAGGGAGGCAGAGATGGAATTCTTGGGGCAAGCTAGGCTAGTGGAATCACTGAGCTCCAGGTTTAGCAAGATTCCTTGCTTCAGTAAATAACTCAAAGAGTGATCAAGGAAGGCAACCACTATCAACCTCTGGTCTCCACATGCATGCACACACACATGCACATAGACCCTCACATGTGTGCCTAACACACATGCACACATACATGTACATCACACATAAAAAAGTGGATCTAGGGATATAGCTCACATGGTTAGAATGCTTGCCTAGAAAGCCAAGGTTCTGGGCTCAGTGCCCAGCATCACATAAACCAGCTGGTGACGTACACCTGTGATCCCAGCAGTAGGAAGGTAGATGGAAAAGGATCAGAAGTTCAAGGTCATCCTCAGCTACATAGTGAATTTGAGGCTACCCTGAGCTATACATGAGATCCTGTCTCAAAACAAAAAGTTTTTTCTAACTCAGGTTCTGGGGAGGGAGCCATGATCCCACAGGGCCCTAAAAGAGTTTGGGTGCAGAGAACCAGAGAGGCAAGGAATGAGGGTGTGGCCACAGAGGAAGCATGTGCCATGGAGCCTGGATGGGGCACTGTGCCTGTCTTGCTAGTCTCCTGGAACAAAGGCTGCAGGTGCTGAGCACTAGGCTGGCTGAGCTAGCAGATGGGTAACCATTAGGCTGGCGGTTCATTATGTCTCTCACCAGGTCTGGCCAAAGCCTCCCTGGGCAAGGCATGTGGGATCCAATCTCATTGCCTCCATTTGAAGAAGAACATCCAATGTTCCCACCCTGCCCCTAATGTAGCAAAACTGACTCTGGCTTCAGGATGAGTTTTTATAAACAAAAGGGGAAGAGGTGGTCTTAGGTATCACAGAGTTGGGGGCCAGAATTGCAGCCCCAAGCATGTCCAATTTTGTGGTGTAGTTGTAAGGAAGCCTCCCTTTCCAGGCTGCAGTTTGTCCATCTGTGACTTGATGGTCAGTCCCTCAAGAGCAGTACAGGTGACCCTGACCTGGGTCCAGTAAGTGCAGCCCTGTCTCCAGCCTCTTTTGTTTCCCAGCAACAAACAAAGCAATGACCACCAGGGGGCAGCAGTGGACAGAGCCTTGTCACTTACTTGTTTGAGCCACAGGTTGGTCTCCATGATCTGGTTTACTTCATCCTAGAAAGGGAGATTGAAGTTGACAGTGAATGACAAAAATGAGACTGGTTCCAAAGGCTCTTCCAGAACCCCATGGCCATGGATCATGGCTCTAGCACTTACCACCTTCACCAGCTGAGACATGGACACCTCAAAGTGGATGATGACTGGGTTGGACACGTTGGCCACAGGCCGGATGATCTCATTGTAATCGTCCAGCAGGTACTGGAACAGGCGGTGCTCGGCTTCTGAGGCACTGACCACTGAGGGAGGCAGCCCTGTCAGTCCCTCCTACTTGTTTCTGCCAGCAAAGACCTCTCCCACCTACAGATTCTCATCTACCAGGCTACTCTACAGACCCAGACTTCCAGGCTAGTAATGCTCCTTCAAGTTACAAACTAGGAAACTAAGTTCCAGAAAGGACACAAATTTTATTAGGTCACACACATTCAACGGTTAACAAGCCTGGACTCTGAAGTGGAGTAAATCTGGGGCAAATCCTAGTGGTTACTAGAAGCTGTGTGACTTTAGGCTAGTAGCTTACAGTCTCTGAACCTCAGTTTGTCAAGATAATGAGTATACATGACTCCACCTCAAAAGTGGAATGAAGTGCTTCAATCGGCAGTAAGAGTTCAAGAGCTGATAGCTTGATGCTACTCTCTTGGGCAGTCCTCACTTTTGTGTGTTCTATGGCCATTTTCTTAGTTCATTCCCTCTCCCTTCTCCCTCTCCCACTCTCCCCCACCCTACTTATTCTTATTCCCTCATCCTACTTTTTTCTTAATAAAACTCCAATCTTCCTTACATATTAAAACACCCCAACTTTGTTTTTAAAGAATAATAGCTGTTTAGTTGCCAAACTTTTGTTTTACTCCAACGCAGGTTGTGGTGCCCCTGCTGTCCAGGTACAGCCATTCACTGCCTCCAGGATGGACAGACAACCTGCCCAACCCTTGAGGCAGGGTCACTAAGGGTCACACAGGCCCCGTGTCTGGCTTCCCAGCTGTGGGAGGCCGCAGCCCAGGCCCGGGCTTCCCCTTCATCCCACCCAGCATCCTGCAGGAAGGGCTGGTCAACAGCTTCTTAGAAGCCAAGGCGCGCACCTGGCCCATCTTGCTCATCTTGGCCTTCGAGCCGCGGTTCCTGCAGATGCTGTCTTCAGATCCTGTCTGTTGGAGTCCCTCATCCTTCTGAGGCCCTGGGCATCCTCTTTGTTCACAAGCCCCCCCCCAGCTAGGCACTGCATCTTGGTTCGGCTGCACAATGCTTCCAATTTACAGCCCTGGGGGCAGTGTCAGGAGGGTCTTGGAGGGGCGGCGCGGAGTCTGACCCAGCTTCTTCAGGCTTTTAAGCTAGGCGGCCAAGAGTGCAGAGACAATGGGATGTTGCACAGCCACAACGCCCCAGAGAATTGTGCGCCCGGGCCGTCTGCAAGGGACCTCGACACCGAGTCCTTGCTCATCTAAGTAGCGGTCCTGGGCTACGGAAGCGTCTTCTGGCAGCGGGCCAGGAGTGACTACCTCCCAACAGGCTCCTCCTGAGCCTGGCGGTCGGCAGGGAGGTGCGGTCCAGGTTGAAGTTCTCCAGGTAACGCGATCACTGAGCACCGAGAGGCCAGTACCTGGGCCCCTGGCTGGCGCGCCAGATCCCGCCCCGGTTCCCAAATGACGCGGGTCTCCTTCTGGTGGCCTGGGAAAAGCCTTCTGTAGCCACACATTCCGGTATGGGTTCATAAAAGCCGGCTGTGGGCAGGAGGCAGACACCGGAAGCAGGGTCTGCCGGTTCCTGGAGCAGTGCCCGAATCCGAGCGACGCGCGGGGCCGGGACTCGAACCCCCAAACTCTAATGTATGACCAAGGTTCGGGCAGGGGGGGGCGGGTTGAGGGCAGCTCTGGGCTCGCCCCACGCCTCCACTGCCAGGCTCGTGAACAAAGGAGGTGTCCTGGGGTCTCAGAAAGGCCAGGGACTGGGATGCCAACGCATTAGCAGGACCGTGGGACCAGGCGGACATCTGGAGCCAGGTGGGCGCCTTGGCATTTAAGTGGCTGATGGCCAAAGTGCTGCGGGATGCTGGGCGGGATGAAGGCGAAGCCGGGGCCTGGGCTGCAGCCTCCCACAGGCGTCCCCGACTACGCTCGTGGGCAGCGGCTCCACAGCCTGAGACCCGACCGCGCCCCGCCGTCCTCCTCCCCCGCGCCCCTCGGCCCCCCGCGCCTACCTGGCCCTAGAATCAGCGTCGGCAGCACCATCAGCATCCCTAGCAGCGGCGGTGGCGAGAGAAGCCCGGCGCCCATGGCCGGGGACCGCGCCGACCGCGGGGCTAGTCCCGGCTTCGCGGTAAGGAGCTGCCCTTGCACTTGTGCTGGCCCGAGTGAAAGGAGCTGGGCAAGCCAGGTGCCTCGGGCCGCCGCGGGGCGGGGCGAGCGAGCAAGCGCGGGAGGGAGACCGGCCAGGGGAGGGGCGCCTGGCTGTGTGTCCGGGTGTCGCCCCCTAGCACTGTGCAGCCGGGAGTCCAGGAAGCCTTGGCTGCGGACCGGAGGGGAGCAGGCACTGTCTCAGAAGGGGGCCAGAGCTTTGCGGGCGTGTGCTAGTAAGGGCACCTGGGAAAGTCTCACTGCTTTAAACTATGTTTGAAATGTTCCTTAATAAAACATAGAACCTTAAACGAAAGGGGAAAGAACAGTGCCGGAGATTATACATCAGCAGTGGAGGGCTTCCCTGGCATGCCAGAGGTCTGGGTTTTGATTCCCAACATAGTAAATACGTTTTAAGTGAAACTGAAGCAATCAGAGAGGGTACCTGGATTCCCACTCTGAACCTTGTAGACTCTCCTTTGTCTCACCACCGCTCGCAGTCCTGGGTGTCCAGGGAACATCCAGTGACAGGGTGGGATGCCCTGGGGTCCCTTAGTCTCTCTTAGCACCCACCAGATATGGTGTGGCACTTAAAGGATTCCTTGATATTCCTTAAAGGCAAGTTAATGCTCTTCTTGGTGCTTAGTAAATGAGTGATCTGTATTACAGATGTTACTGCTCATCCATATTTGAGCCACACAAAAGGTGACAATTTGAACACCACAGAAAATGTGAGAATTGGGGTGGCCCACCTCTCAGGTCCCCACCTCTCAGGCCCAACAAAGGATGTGGGATCCAGCATATATAAAACTCAAAACTAAACAATAAGTATAGATGGTTATGAGGGATTTTATCAGGATGATGGAGATGAACTAAAACTGGATTGTGGTGGCAAACACCAAAATTCAGGGGTTTGCCCACTGTAAAATGAGTGAATTTTAAGTTTGTAAAGTACACCTCAATAAAGTTTTTTAAAGTTTTATTTATTTTTGTGTATGAGTGCATTGCCTGCATGTATGTGAGTGCACCCATGTTGTGCAATGCTGCAGAGGTCAGAAGAGGGCTTCGGATTCCCCCGGAACTGGAGTTAAGGATGGTTTGTAGCTACCATGTGGGTGTGGGAATTGAACCTGGGTCCTCTGCAAGAGCAGTCAGTGCTCTTAACTGCTGAGCCACCTCTCCAGTCCCCTAAAGTTATCCTTACTTTTTGTCTTTTTTTTGAGACAGGGTCTCCCTGTAGCCCCAGCTGTCCTGGAACTCACTATGTAGACCAGGCTGGCCTTGAACTCACAAAGATCCACCTGCCTCTGCCTCCCAAGTGCTGGGATTAAAGGCATGTGTCACTATGCCCGGCTAGTTGTTTATTTTTAAAAGTTTATTTATTGTGTGTGTAGAGGTGCGGCATGTGGAAACCAAACTGTAACTTTATGGATTCAGTTCTCTCCTGTCCTCTTTAAAAAGTATTTTATTTATTTTTATTTTATGTGTATGAATGTTTTGCCTGTATATATGTAAGTGCATTATATACGTGCCTGGTGCCTGCAGAGGCCAGAAGAGGGCATCAGATACCCTGGAACTGAAGTTAAGGACAGGTGTAATCTGCCCTGTGGACACTGGGAACCAAACTCTGGTCCTCTGGAAGAGCAGCAGGTACTCTTAACCACTTCCCAGCCCCTTTCCTTCCATCTTTATGTTGCCAAGTTTTAGTGGCAAACACTGTTACCCACTGAGCCATCTTGCTGGCCCAGTATAGTTGCATCTTTCTATATATCTACTACCTACCTACTTATTGGCAGCACTCACTATGTAGCCCTGGCTGACCTGGAACTGTGTAGACTAGGCTGGCCTGGAACTTGATCTAAAGACCAGGCTGACCTCGAACTCACAGAGATATGCCTGCCTCTGCCTTCTGAGTGCTGGGATTAAAGGCATGCACTACCACCACACCTGGCGCAAAGTTGTTTTTAAAAAGTTTCTGTTGTAAGAAAATTACAGCCCCTTCCCCTTTTATTTTGAGACAGGGTCTCTTGTATCCCAGACTGGCCTGAACTCACTTTGTAGCTAAGGATGACCTTGAATTTCTGATCTCCTGCCTCCACCAGGTTTATGTGGTGCTGGGATCAAACTCAGGGCCTTGGGTCTGCTAGGAAAGCACTCTACTAAGCCAGCTACATTCTCAGCCCAATTTTAAAAGTAGCAAACACGGTAAACACGTTTGACCACAGAGGATATGTAGGAGAAAAAAAAATTTTTTTAAATGCCATTAGGAAAATACAAATTAAATCCAGGATGATAGGCTACTTCCCATCCCTGTGATGGCTAAAATAACAAATGCTGCCAACACTAAGTGCAGACAGGATGCAGAACAAATGAATTGCTCACACTTTGCTGATGGGGTTGTGAAAGGGTATGGGAACTCCAATAATTTGCTTCTTATAAAGTTAAACATATTCTTCCTGTATAACTTAGTCATCCTGCTATTGCTTATCTAGAGGAATGAACACTTTAGCCCAAAGCAATCCTATATATGGTGGGTCTATTCATAAATCCTAAACACTGGAAACTACCTAATGGAGCTTCCACATCCATAGTTAGAATACTGTTTAGCACACAAAGGAACCTGCCACATATACACTCAGCATCCCAGGTGAATGAGACATCACAGTGGACAGAAGAAGCCAGTCTCCAAAGGCTACTGCCTGTAGAATTCCATTTAAGAGGGAGGCTTGAAGTCACTGAACTGTAGTGGTGGAGAAAAGGTAAGTGATGGCAGGGCTAGGTATGCAGGGAATGGGACTACACAAAATAGTAGCAGAGTAAGTTTGAGTGACACATCTCTCTTTTATCTGAGTGTCAGTGATGGTTATACAATGTATACTTCTATTAGAATTCACAGAATTATGTATAAAAGTCAATTTTATTGTGTTATAATTCTAGAAACAACTCTTTAGAATATGCCCTCCATTCTACAAACATCTTGAGTGCCTACAATGGGCCAGGCATTGTGAGAGGAATGGATTAGCGTGTGTGAGAGTGAAAAACAGACCTGAACCAGCTGTAATGGAAAGGCAGAAAGTAGCCCGAGCTGTGGTGTCCCGAAAGATAGGGCCACTCCTTCCAGGGTTGGGGACCAAGGACAACTACTCAGAGGGCACCTGTGAGCTTAAAGAAGGAGCCATTCATTTCTTCAACAAACGTTTATTTTGCACCTGCTGTGTGCAGAGCTCTTCCCCAAGCCCTGGAGTGAACATGAGCACACAAGCCCCTGTCCTAGTGGAGTTCACACTCAGATATAGATGATTAGCATGCGGCTGGGTAAGACCTGCAGGTGCTGAGGGGGCTCAGGAAGGTGGCAGATAACAGTCATTGGTGAGACTGCTTTGGAATGTGTGACTAGGGAAGGCCTCTACAGGAAAGTGACATTGGAGCAGAGGACCATGGGAGCAAGGCCCTGATGAACACAGCCACGTGAAAAGCTTGGGAAGCTTGAGTCTGAGCAGGTTTGGGTAGAAGGTACAGCAGATATAAAGGCTCTGAGCTGGAAGAATCTAGAACTGTGTGCGGAAGTGAAAGAAGGAGGGAGTAGCAGGAGATGGGAGTGGAAAGGCAGGCCACTGTGGTGGGCATGATGTCTGGCACAGCAGGTGCCGCTAGTATGTCTGTCTGACTCCAGTGCTTGGTACATGGACGGAAGAGAGGCTGGACTTTAGACTCTGAAGCCCTCTCCTGCAGGGACTTCCTCAGAGGCATTCAGAGAGGACCATGCAAGCCATCCATTCTTATTCCTCTCATGGCTGTGGCTGGCTTGATGGGATTGACTGCCAATGATTACATATTTATTTATTTATTCAGCTGTGACCCGGAGGAAGCAGCAAACCTCCCACTTGGCTGTTCACGTCATCTCCCACTAGAACCCAGGGGCCCTTGACATGCTGGGTAGACTAGGGGGCCTTAGAAGGGGTATAGGTCTGGAAGAAGGGAGGTAGGAAGAGTCCCATGGTGCCCAGGATGCACACAAACATGAATACCCACAGGAACAGCCGGTCAACCACCATGGCCACAAACTTCCAGTCCTCAATGACCTGTAGGTAGACAGAGGGGCTCGTTACAGATGCCAAGCACAGAGTACCTCCTCCCTCTGCATCATACCCTGTTGACCAGGAACCCTACAAGCTACTTGGGGGGCTTGGAACTGTGTGCTAATGTGGCAAGTTCTGAGCCCCAGGTTGGCCTCTCCTGGGCAATGCTATGCTCCTCTTGGTGTCCTCCAACCCCACCTGACCTGGCCACCTCAGTATGGCAGAGCCACTGGGAACTTGGGCTGTATAGTCATCCTTTAGTATCCTCAAGGGGTTGTTCCTAGGACCCCCTGTGAATACTCAAATCCCAAGGGTGCTCAAGACACCCACATAAAAGGTGCAGCATTTGCATATGACCCATACAATCCTCTCTTGCTCTTTTATAGATTATGTGATTATTTATATATTGTGGGAGACTTACTGATAAGGAGGGAGTGCACATTAGTGCAAACACTTTTTCCACCCAGTATTTTACCCACAGTTGGTTGAATCCATGGATGCAGATACGGAGACCCAATGTACCACATACTGCGATTTTAAAAACCAAACTTGGGGGCCGGGTGTGGTGGCACATGTCTTTAGTCCCAGCACTTGGGAGGCAGAGGCAGGCCGATCTCTGTGAGTTCAAGGCCAGCCTGGTCTACACAGTGAGTTCCAGGACAGCTGGGGCTACAGGGAGACCCTGTCTCATAAAGACCAAAAAGAAAATGAACAAAAAACCAAAACAACAAAACAAAACAAAACAAAAAACCCAAACTTGGTTATGGGTAAATGGGGGTGGTGAGGCTTGGGGATTACAAGGTTCTTTTCTCTCATGTTCACCCCCAAACCCTGTGCCTGAGCTGGCTCTGCAGAAAGGTGGCTGTAGGGCTCACCTACTTGAGGGGAGCCTGCAGAACACCTGGAAATCCTACTGTTTCATTTTTTCATTTCCATTCACAGCAGTGCTGCTATTTCCTATAATTAAGACTCAGCCTCCCCTAGCCTCATCGGCTGGCTTTCTGGCTCTCTCTGGCGCCCTCACTCTCTTGTTCTGAGTTCCCTTTGTCTTCTCAGACACGACCGTGGGGTCCATCGGCAGAAACCTAGCTGGCCTCCAAAGATGCCACCATAGATGTACCTGCCTTTTTGGTGCTGGGAGAGACCCTCAGAGAGAGGCAGTGTGCCCAGCATCCTAGCCTCCCTCCCCCACCCCCTGACTGAGAAGGCTCTGCAAAGGCTCTCGAGCTAGAAATGCAGTAATGGGCAAGCTGACGTCAGTGACCCAATTTTCTAGGGCCCCATCAATGGTGTATGTCATATTCCAGGATAATCCTATGTCAGATCAACCTCCATTGGCTCCCTAAGACCCAGAAAGCAAACAACGACCCTCCACATAGTTTTTGAGGCGTTCATATTGACAGCCCTAATTTCAAATGGCACATGTGTGTGTGAGTGTGTGTGTATGTGTGTGTATGAGCATACATGCTTTTTCTGTCTTTTTATGCTTTTATGCTGCTTATAGTGACCAGTAATCATCAGGGAGGACTAAAGTGCTGTAGATGAAAAACAGCACCTGGGATGACGTGGGGGGTAGGCCTGCCCTGACAGGGAAGACAGACTTCTCCGACTACACACGGGAAAGCCAATAAACCAATGAGTCCACCATGTGCTCTGTGCGGTGCAAGACTCTAGAAGGGGCCCCAGAGTTTAAGAATGGCAGCTGTGTGGCAGCTATGTGACCACAGGCAAGTCAGAGGATGTCTCTGAGCCTCACTTTCCCTACCAGGAGGTGGGGGTTCTAGTAACAGCCACTTCCCAGGGTTCCTGGCAGGGTTAGGACTATATGTCCACTCCTGCCCAAGCACCTAATACATGCTTGGTGCTTCAGGAACACGGCTGGTTATAATACCATTGAGTTCTGCCTGGTTCACCCCCAACCCTTGGGGCTTGTAATCAGTCGAGGGCCGTGAGTGCCAAGGCAGTGGTGAGGCCATTAGAAGAGAAAGTAAAGTTCAGGATGGGTGCTAGTGCAAGTAGGGGAACAGGAGGCCAGAGCCACTCATCCTAGAATGTGCATATAAACCAATGGCAATCTGTTTAAAATGTGGGCTCCTAGATGCCTCCCCAGAAATCCTGACTTGGTTGAAGCTTCCCTGAAAAGTTGCCAGTGGTTCCATTCAGCAGCAAGGCCTCATAGTGTACATTAATGTTTGGGAGTCAGGGAACATGGTGATGCTGAACTCCTAAATGATTTTCAACCAAAGACTAGCATGCACAAATCCCTAGGTTCAAATCTCCAGCACAGTATAAGCTGGTTTGCACACACAGGTGATCCTAACACTTGGAAGGTGGAGGCAGGAGGAGCAAAATTCAAAATCAGTATTAGGAATGTGGCTCAGTAGTTAGAGTGTTTGCCCAGCATGCATGAAGCCCTTGGGTTTGATCCCTAGCAATGAATAAAAACCAGGCATAGTGATGCATACCTGTAATTACAGCACTTGGAGATAGAGGCAATAGGTTCAGAAGTTTAAGGTCATCCTCAACGATACAGTGAATTTGAGGCCAGCCTGAGCTATATGAGATCCTGACTCAAAAAGAAAATCTATTAGCATTTGTGTGTGTTGGATCAACTGGTAGAGAAGGACATGAGAGACAGAACCCACTTTCAGTATAAGTCTTGATACATACAAGGGATGTGATGCACTAGTTCCCAGTTCCAAGCGATGATGGCATTGATAAGAGGCTGGGTCTAAGAATGAAGAGTTGATCATGTTTTTTTAAAGTTCAAGGTCATCTTCAGCTACCTAGTGAGTTTGAGCCCAACCTGGGCTACCAAGAGACCCTTTATCAAGAAAGGAGAGAGAGAGGGAGAGAGAAAGAGAAAGAGAGAGAGAGAGAGAGAGAGAGAGAGAGAAATAATTTTTTTAGAAAGCAAAATCTAAAAGAGGTCCAGTTTTCAAACTGGAATGGCTTAGGAGGCTCCTGAGTCTGGTTAAAGCAGACCTGAGTTGGAGGTGCGTCTACCACGTTTGAGGGAAGCAGACTCTTGGTCCAAGGGCTACACTCTAAGCAGCAGCCCTATCTTCCAACAGTTCTTTTTTTCCTTCACACAGTGTGATTCTGGAGCTTTTCCTGTCTGCGCTTTTCAGTTATGCTAATGGAATGTCAGTGTCTTCCCGAGAATGGAGTTAGTGGAAAGAGACTGCAGAACAGTAAGAATGATGGGATGGTCTTTACCGTTCATGCAGTTGTAAAGGGTGAGACAGCATGTTGTGACATAAAAACCTGTTCAAGGGCTCTGACTGGATTTGTGTTGAGAGAACATTTACATGACTGTGAAAGTTATTCTGTCCCACAGAGAAATGTGTGTGATGGTGTCTAACCATGAGACTCTCATTGTGGTTTATCACAAAATATCCCTTATAGGCTGTCCTAGTTAGCTTTAATTGTCAATTTGACACAACCTAGAGTCACCTGAGAAGGGAGTCTCAGCTGAGGAATTTTCCAGATCCGATTGGCCTGGGGACATGTCTGTGGGGGATCCTGATTGCTATTTGATATAGGAGGGTCCAGCCCACTGTGGGTGGCACCATTCCCCAGCCTGACTGGCCTGGGCTGTATAAGAAAACTCTAAGCATGAGTGTGAGTAAGCCAGGCGCATCATTCCTTCATGGTTTCCACTGTACTTCCTGGATTCGAGTGAGTTCCCTGGTTAGATGCAATACCAAGCCGGCCTCTGGAGCATGGTGGCGCACGCCTTTAATCCCAGCAGAGGCGGGCAAATCTCTGTGAGATCAGCACCAGCCTGGTCTACACAGCAAGTTCTAGGCCACCTGGGACTACAGGGAGATCTTGTCTCAAAAAACAACAAAAAACAACAAAAGCAAGCAGGCCTGCCTTCAGGTTCCTGCCTGGAGTTCCTGTCCTGACTTCCCTCAGTGACGGACCATGACTGGAAGGGTAAGCCAAATAAATCTTTTCCTCCCTAAGGTACTTCTGGTCATGGTGTTTGTCACAGCAACAGAATGAAACTAGAACATGCATGCTACTTGTTCAGGAGTCACTTGGGACACACAAACTCTGGAACTTACTGCTTTGTTTTGTGAAGGTGAACTTAACCTTATTTTAGAAAACCTGTAATTCTAGTCACCCCATTTGATAACTTATTAGCAAGAATACTTTAATTGATGTCTCTATATTCTTGAAAGGTATAAATGGTTGCATGGCTTCTTTGCAAGTCGAGATATTGAGTGCAGATGGCCTACACAACCCAGCTCAGCTGTGCTCCCTAGGGGCTATAGAGCGGTTTTCCAGCCCACTGATGTCCTCCCACTTCGGGCCTGCAGTTCTTCTCCTCTCTGCCCCAGGGATTTCTCCAGCACCAAGAGTGCTTGCTCTAGCAAGCAGGTATAACTGGGAAGATCACATCTCAGAGCTACTGTCAACCCATGGGACTGGGAACTGGGGGATACACGCCCAGCCTCCATTCTAGGGATTATTCTGAGGCTGGTTGTCTGGGTCCTCAGGGGTCTCCACTGGGCTACTGCACCCACAACAGTATTCAACTCACTGATATCCAATAGTGGTTCCCCTTCTGGCCTTTGACTGGCACTCTCTACTTCCTCACTGTGCTTCCTGGGGTCACGTCACACATGCACTACTTGCTCCCAAACCCCATCTCTGGCTTTGCTTTGGGAGTACCCAGAACCAACACAGAAAGATCACTGTTCCTTCCCTCCTCTTCCCCACATATGTGGCTATAATAAAACTCATTTGGTTCTGGGGACCTTATTCATGAGGCCTATCACAGGAGTTAACTGCAGGAAATGGAAAATGGTGGTAGCTGAGCTTCCACTGGGCAGGTGGTAGAGGCAGGGCTAGTAACTTACACTCTGGTCCTGGTCATCACTCTTCATGTGCTGGGCTATGAAGCTGACACCTTCTAAAGCCTCCTGCAGGTCCTGCTGGAACTTCCCTGAGGACCTCAGCCGGACATCCCTGGGGAGGCCTGTTGTATGGGAGCTGGCGGCTGACTTGGGCGCTGCAGGGACAGGGTTCACAAAGTACATGGAGCTCCCATAGAGGTTGGAGGGGCTGGCGGGGCCTAAGGCAGAGGTGGCCGCAGTTTCGGCTGTGGTCAAATGCAACTGGCTGGGATAGGGGACCTTGGCTGGGTTGACTTCAAGACCAGGGCGCTTCATGAAGAGGAAGGTGGGCAGCTTGTGCAGGAAGCACTGCTTTACCCAGGATGCCATGGTGTGGGTGCTAGGTGAGCGGTGGTGCACGTTGAGGACACACACGGTGGTGACGATGGAGAAGGTGACCAGCACCATAGTGAACAAAAGGTACTTGCCAATGAGTGGCACATCAAGGGAAGTGGGCGGCACGATCTTGGAGATGAGCAGGAGGAAGAAGGTGAGTGCCAGCAGCACGGAGATGCACAGGGTCATCTTCTCGCCACAGTCGGAGGGCAGGTAGAAGACGAGGATGGCCAGCGAGGTGATGAGCACACAGGGGATGATGAGGTTGATGGTGTAGAACAGTGGCTTGCGCTTGATGATGAAGTCGTAGGTCACGTCCACATAGCTAGGGTCCTGTGGGTTCACTGTCCTTCGTCCTGGGAGGGCCACTATGTCCCACTCACCGCTGGGGGTAAAGTCATCCATGGTGGCCATGGGTGACCCAAGGACCATGTCGATCTCTGTGTGGTCATAAGTCCAGGAGCGAAACTTGAGGCTGCAGTTCTGTTGGTCGAAAGGAAAGTGCTTTACCTCAATCTTACAGGCACTCTTGTAGATGGCAGGGGGCAGCCAATAGATGCTGCCATTGGAATTCACAATGACGTTGGTGTAGACAGATACTTCATAGATCCCATCAGCGCTGGGGTGGGGCACAGAGGAGAGCATCACAAATCTAGAGGTCTGGTCGGTTCTCAAAACTGCCCCAGGAGGTCTTGTGGATTATCCTCCCTCCTCACTGAGAGGCCTGCTTTTCTCAGGAACTACCTACCAGAAGATACTGAAGACTGCTTAGGGAGTCACCCAGTTAAGCTCATCAGAGTCCATGGAGGCAGTTTTTATGATGATCCCATTTTACAGTTGGGAAAACCAGAAGCTAAATGACTTTGCCAATTTCCTTAAAGTAGTAAGCAATATAAGTGAGATCTGAATTCTTGCTTATTTTGCTTGATCCCTGGCTACATTCTCTTTCTCTCTTCTTCTCTTTTTTTCTCTCTCTCTGGCTCTTTGCCCAGGTTGATATCAAATCTTGGGCTCACGATCCTCCTACGTCAGCCTCCCAAATAGCTACTATCTATCATGATGGTCTACCTTAGATATTCACACATGACAAGTCAGTGCTACAATACCCAACACTAAGCCTCTGAGGGTCAAAAGGACAGAATGGAGGCAGATGGGAAGAGCACTGGCCTGAAGGTCAGAGGGCTGGCCTGGTCCTTCTGTATTTAGTAAGATAAAGTCCTTCCCACTTTCCTAGACTGAGGGCTCTGACTCTGATCACCTCTGTTTCTCAAGATCTGAGGCCTAGAAGTCTGGTTGAAGCAGGAAGAGGAAGTCAGGCCTGGACTCACCCCGCCCCCCCAACCCGCCGAGGCTGGGCCAGCTGCCCTGGCCTGACCTTCACCAGCCCTTGACCAACACCTACTACTCACTTGTTGTACAGCACGATGTCAGGCAACCAGACACGCTTTGCAGGGATCCTCAAGATGTTCACCCCTTCATAGCAGGAGCTGTTCCAGGCCAGGCGATAGTCAGTCCATTGCTGAGCACACAGGCAAGGCCCTGTCACTTATAGGTTCATTGCCACCAAAGGGCTGCCCCAGAGGAAAAGTCACCTGGGCTAGGGACCCTATAGAGTACTTACCTGTTTCAGCCAGATGTTGGTGGTCATGATCTGTTCTCGTTCATTCTGGGAAGAGAAACGAGGCTATCAATTCATCAGGAAGGAGTAATTCCCCACAAGTGGACTGTACTTATCTTAAAAAGGCTCTGAGCTCCAGGCCCATGTGACCAGCTGCCACACAGCGACCTAGGATGGTATACTGGTTATTTTTTGCATTGCTACAACAAAATACCTGATAAGAAGCAACTTAGGGGAGGGATTAATTTTAGCTCAGTTTCATGGCAAAGGAAGCATGGCAGCTAGGGCTCTGGCCCTTTGAACATAGCCGCAATAGCTTCTGTGTGCTTTTGCAGCTGGCCCTCAGAAAACACTTCCTGAGTGTTTCTGAGCAGGGAACCCTGCAGTGACATTCTAAGCTCAGGCTCTCTCTTTCAGATGAGCTTGCTGGAGCCTTCAGTAGATGGAGTCTTCCTCTCAAGGCACCTTTCCTATTGTCCCGGTGCAAAATGCATGGTTTCTCTTTCATGTCACCCATCTTTTTAGCAATTATAGCCACTTTGTCCACAGCTCCATCTGTCTTCAACTTTAGACACTCCCTTCCAAAGTGCATACCTTTCATACTTGCTGCTTTGAATTTTCAGTATAAAGTCCACTAAATGCAGTAAGCAATAACTATGCCACAGTCTGAATGTTACACTGTCTTGAAATTTCCTTTGCCAAGCAGCTTAGTCCATTAATTTAAATTTAGTTTTACTCAAATTGCCAGGGCATGGGCAGGACACTGCCACTTTTTTTCCTTTGGCTAGAATGTAACACAAATGGCCTCTACTCTAGTCCCCTCCGAAACCTCATGAACACAGTCCTTACAGTCAGCATTCTGGTTTTTCACTCTTACAGGCATGGCCCACTAAGATCTGCTTACAGCATTCCAGGATTTATCTAGCTTTCTTATTGCACACTTTCCCAAATCCTTCTATAAACAAGTCCAAAGGCCTATGAACAACATGGTTGGGTTTACCACAGCAACAACCCTATCTCTCAGTTCCAATTTTCTGTATGAGGTACTTTTCTTATCACTGCAACCAAATGCCTGACAAGAGCAACTAAGAGGAGGAGGTTTGATTTCAGCTCACAGCTTCATGGCAAAGGAGCCTTGGCAGCTAGGAATCTGGTCTTGGTGTGGGAACTGGCAGCTAGTCACATTGTGGTAGCAGATGGAAAACGGAGGTACCCATTCCAACAATTGGAGCTGGGTTATGACCAAAAACTCACCCTCAGTGACCTGCTTCAGCCAGTCAGGCCTCACCATTTAAAGGCTACACAACTTCCCAGAACAGTACACCAGCTGCAAACCTACAGAGGATGCTTCATATCCAAACTATAACAGATAACTCAAAGATACTTCACACCCTGCACATCACAGTTTAATAAAGCTCATGATCTTCCTCAAAGCTTGGTTCCTTGGTACATCCAGTTTCATCCATCAGAAGCTGGGAAGTTGTCTCTGACACACCATTCCTCAATCCACCAATAAATCCTCACCTACATGCTCTGCAAAATTGTCTGCTTCCCTTGTCTCCGTTGCTTGGATTACCATATATCTACTGCTTGGACTACTGTAGAAGGCCTTAGCTCCACCTGGATCTGCCTTGACCTGCCTGAATTTTGGATCTCAGCTCCTCAGACTCTGGTTCTGTTTAAACTCGTCACTGCTTCTCCAGTGCATCCAGAGTAAAAGCCAGTCTTACCCGGGGCCTAATGGCCACCTCTGCCCATAGCTCCTTGGCCTTGGGTATCTTCACACACTCCTGTTTGCTCGCTCCACTGCAACCATGCTTGCTTCTTTGCTCCTGCCTTTACACACACGCCTCCTGTCCCCGCAAACACATTGGCTTAATTTTTTTCAGGTGTCAGAAGTGTCACTTTATCAGGGAAAATTTCTCCAATCTTCCTACATCAAATGCCCTGCCTCCTCCTACCACACACACCCTTCTTGTCTTCATAATACTTATCATCATCGCACACTGTCATTTTGTGTGTTGTCACCACCTCCAACTAGGACCCAAAGAACTAGAATAAAAATAAAAACACTTAGAGCAACAAGGCTGTGTCTGGAACCTGATAAATATTTTCTGAATGAATACATGAATCTTATTATCATAATCTAGGCCACCACCATCCATCCCTCACCTGAACCACTGTACAATCTAACTGGTCAAAGCCCATTCTGTACAAAACACACACACACACACAGCCTTTTATTTTCTTTTGCAGAAATAATGAACTTGCCAAAGTTCTCACCATCCCTCTCCTGGGCCCCAAATCTTATCTCTATTTAAGTCACTTTCTTAGCTTCTTTCATATTTAAAATTAAAATTCAACTCTTCTACAGGGTTGGATTGCTAACTTCCTCACCCTGATTTTGTCTCCCTGGGCTCCTTTTTTCTCCGCTCCAGCCCCCTTGGCCTTCCTTAGTTCTTGGAATGTATCTTGTGCTGTGTATATAATTTTTTCTTCCTCTTCATTTATTAACTTCCAGTGTTCTGATTCAGCATCATGGCATTACTTCCTCAAACAACACAATGAGGTTAAAAGTATATCAGAAGGCCAAAGTTCAGCTGCCAGGACTAGAGAAGTAGAGAGACACAACATGTAACATTCTGAAGATACATGGTGGTCTGCTCTATAAAACCATCTAGCTTCCTTCTAGCCCTCTTCTCTGTCATACCAGAGTGTGGCTCTCATCTGCATGGTCCAAGATGGCTACTGGCACTCCAGCCATAGCACCCAAATTCCAGGCTGTTCTGAGGGGATGAGTAGGGAGCAAGTTGAATGCCAACTGTCTTATTTTGATTATTTACATTTATATTTAAAATAGCTACTGATAGCTCCTGATTTCTGATGGTTTGATGCAAGATATGTGGATGGATAGAGATAGATAGATGATTGATTGATAGATAGATAGATAGATAGATAGATAGATAGATAGATAGATAGATGACAGAAAGATAGATCCTTATGATGGGTTTGCCAAGGTAGTAAATATGTTCTAGATTTACAATGCTTTTTACTTCCATAACCTATCTGAGAGTAGGCTTTCTCTGTGTATTTGAGTTGAAACCCATCATGCAGTTCTGTTTATTTTAGTTTCTTGATTTGTTTTGAATTATTTTATTATTCCGTTTCTCCCCATATCAATACGGCTTTTCCTCTAGTAGTTAAACTAGAGACTCCAATATATATTCTTATTGTAGAATCTAATATAAATTAATACTTTTACCAGTGCCAGAACAAGATAAGACTTAGAGCACGTGCACACACACACACACACACACACACACACACACACACATGCCATAGCCCACATACAGAGGTCAGAGATCAGCTTGTGGGAGTTGGTTCTGTTCTTCCACCATGTGGGTCCTGAGGACCAAACTCAGTTTGTTGGGCTTGCAGCAAGCACCTTTACCCACTGAGCCATCCTGCTGGTCCTTGCTCTCTTTTTAAAAAAATATTATTGCTTCCTGGGCCAAGTGTGGTGGTGCACACCTTTAATTCCAGGACTCAAGGCAGAAGCAGGTGGATCGAGATTTGGAAAGATGGCTTGGCTTAGGGGTTAAGAGCAGTGCCTGCTCTTGCAGAGGACCCTGGTTCAGTTCCCAGCACCCACATGGTGGCTCACAACCATCTGTAACTCCAGTTCTAGGGGAGCTTATATCCTCTTCTGGCCTCTACAGGCATTGCATGCACATGGTGAACCTACATACATATACGTAAAAACACTTATACACATAAAATAAAAATTATTTAAAAAATCACTGTCTTGTTTCTTTTCTTGGATATTCTTTAATTTTTCTCTTTGTCTTTGGTTGTTCAGAGTTTGAGTGGAATTCTTGTATTTATTTCTCATGGGATCCACAGAGCCTCTTGTATCTGAAGCTTACTATTTTTGCTCCGTTTTATATCAGCCCATGTCACTTCAGTATAAATACAGTACCCATCAAACCTACCTCCCTTCTTTTTGGCCTGTATATATATGTGTGTGTGTGTGTGTGTGTGTGTGTGTGTGTGTGTGTACTGTACATGTATGTATATGTTTGCATGTGTGAGTGAGGATGCATGTACAGGTCCCAAGTTGACATCAGGTGTCTCCTGTCCTTCTTCTCCACTTTATCCACTGAGGCAGGGTCTCTCACTGAACTCACTCACTGACTTGCTAGTCTAGCTAGCCAAACTGCCCCAAAGAGCCCCTGTCTCCCAAGATCCCAAGTGATGCGTTTACAAGTGGCTTCCATGTCTGCCTGGCTTTTAAAAGGGTTCTGGGGCTCCAAACTCCTCCTCATGGTTGCATGGCAAGTGCTTTATCCACTGAGCCATCTCTCCAACCTCCTACCTCCTTTTAAGATACAGAACGTTCTTATCTTCCAGAAATTTCTCTTGTGTGTTAGTCCTGCCCCACTGGCAGCTGCTCAATGTGACAACAGTGGGAGAGGACCCTACCACCATGCTACAAGGAGTAGATCTGAAAGGTTTGTTTGCCTCACCAGCACAGACACCTTGTCTATTCCCTGGAAGTTCCATCATTAAGCTGGCTGTGCCTCTAACCTTCCCTCTTCAAAACCTTAAAAAGTAGAAAGATCCCCTCCCCCCAAAAGCCAGGTATTTCCTGTCTACACAAGCTTTTGGACTGTGACAGCCCAGAGGTACTTGGAGATGTAGGGCTGGAGCTGTGCTCCCTCCTTCCGGTAGCCTCTATCACCCCACAGGTGAGATCTGGCAGAGGCAGCCTGAATCTGGCAGTGTGGCCAGAGCTGCCCACCTGTCCACGCTCTCCAGAGCAGGCAGCTGCGCTCAGCTGATTATGCACAAGACCCATTCTGGTCAAGGATGCTCAGACCCAGTCTCTCCAGAGCAGGCAGCTATGCTCAGCTGATTATGCACAAGAACCATGCTGGCCCAGGGATGCTCAGACCCTTATTGCTTCCCTGGCACCTACCACATTGATGAGCTGGGCCACCAAGAGCTCCACTCGGATGGAGATGAGCTGCGAGGAACTGGTGGTTGGGCGGATCAGGTTGTTGTAGCGGGTTTTATTCAGAAGGTCATCCATCAGCTTCTCCTCAGCATTGGCCCGGCGGCAGTCCCCTGGGAAATCACACAATCAGACCTGCTGGGCTCTCTTCCAGTGGAACCCACTGTAGCTGTGGCAGTGAAGAGGGGACTGTGAGAAGCAGAAGCACAGGAGCCCTGGGGTGGGATGGAGCCCTGGGGGATGGAACCCTGGAGGATGGAGGGGTTGGGGGAGCCCTGGGGAATGGAGCCTTAGGGGATGAAGCCCTAGAGGATGGAGAGTGGGGGAAGCCCTGGGGGTTGGAGTCCTGGGGGGTGGAGCCCTTAAGTACCAACAGGCCCACTTCTCCTTGGGGACTTCCAACTAAACACAGTCCAGGCAGCTTACTCTCTCCTCTGGGCCAGATCTCTCTCTCCCCCCTTACTCTTCCTGGCTCTGGACATCCAGCCCCAGCTTGGGCATCTGTTCCTCCCTGGGCTCCTCCCAGGGCCCCTAGGCTTGTCGGCTCTACTTTCCAAGTCCCCTAGTTTGTTCTCCCATCTCCACTCTCCAGCCAGGTTTTCCTTTACCGCCCCTGCCCTGAACTGGCCTGTTTCTCTCTCTCTCTCTCTCTCTCTCTCTCTCTCTCTCTCTCTCTCTCTCTCTCCCCCCCCCCCCCCCCGCTCTTTCTCTCTCCCCCCCCCTCTCTCCAGCGCTCTTTCCTTCCCCCCCCCCCCCCCTGCTCCTGTCTCTCTCTCTCTCTCTCTCTCTCTCTCTCTCTCTCTCTCTCTCTCTCTCTCTCTCTCTCTCTCTCGCCCCCCCCGCTCTTGCTGTGCATTACCATCCAAGCCAGGTGAGTCTTCCTATAGCACATTGGATGGTGACTTTTCCCTCCCCCAGCCTCTCTGAGCTGGAGGTGGTTAAGACACAAATGACTTGACTTGGCACTCAAGGCCTTTTGCCCTCAGCACAGGCTTATTTTCTCTCACCTCCCCTCCTCAGCTAACTCCAGACCCTCTATTCTCTGACCATACCTACTCGTTGCCTCTTTCCCATGTGCCCTTTATGGTCTTGTTTCTGGGTCTTTGTGTACACTCTTTCTTCTACTGTGATTGTCCCTAACCCTCCAACTGACAAATGTCTGAGTGTGGAGTTTGTGCCAGGTACTGTGCTATGTGCTGGGATAAGTGCAAAACCCAGGGACATAGTGCCCACAAAGGCACATAGTACCAGCGAGAGTTACTGAAATGTGGGTTTGTGTGCAGAGCTGGGTGTGTGGTAGGGGTTCCTTTAAGAAGGCAAGATTGGGGCTGGAGAAGACAGCTCAGTCAATAGAGTGCCTGCCATGCAAGCAGGAGAAACTGAGTTGGGATCCCCAGAACCCACATAAAAAAGCCTTGGTGGAGGGTGAGACAAATGGATCCTTCAGTCTCATTGGCCAGCCAGCCTTGCCCAAATTAATGAGTTTCTGGTTCAGTGAGAGACACTTTCAGAAAATAAAGGTGGAGAGTGATAGAGGAAAGACACTTGCACACACAAGTACACACACTACATACATCCACAATAACACACACCCACACAACATACACACAAAAGAAGAAAAGCAGGATTGAGCTGGAGGAGGGTTCCTTGGACTCAGACTTTGACCTAGAGAGCACAGGTCTCTTTGAGACACCAAATGGAGTGGTCCAGCTGGCAGCTGGCTTCTGGTAAGAGAGAGTTCTTGGCTCCAAACCATACTCAGCTCCAGTACAGCCTCTTGGAAGGAGACCCAGCCAACAGTCAGCCCCTTGATTCCCCAACAGCCTGAGATCTGCTACCCCTTACACATCCCAGATTTCTTGCCAAGTAGTATTTGGGTCTTGGTCTCATCTCCTTCATATGTCTGGGATTGAAGGTGAAATTCAAGGGCTTTAACTTGTGCACTGTAGAGTCTATAAGGAGAATGTGTTAGGTAGGGTGGTGGGATGGAGCTTTCAAAGAGGGAGACACAGAGGAAGGGTAATGATACGTGCACAGGATGCCCAGGGCCAGGAAAGGAGATGAGCATGTGCAGAGGAAACAGTGTTGGTGCAGGAGATCAAGCAGGAGGCTAAGAGAGGAGAGATGGGGGGGATGCTGGTGAGGGGCTGCTGTCTTACCAAGCCCAGAAGGCTGGTGTGTCATATCCTTCCCAAAGAGTCTTCACAGTTTTACTAAACTCCTTCCTATGGGAGTACCTAGAATGTGCATCAGCCCACTCTAGTGGATGTGAACTGGACTCTTAGGTGGGTGCTGGGCTGGTCATGTGGCTGTGGGGAGCAGCCACTGCCTGGTCTACTCCATGCACTTTCCAACTCGCTGCCTATCTGGAGCAGATGCAATATTTAGTGCCTTCTGAAAGATGCTCCTGGTGCACCTGCTGCCTGCTGCCCCTCCCTCAAGACTGCCCTGAGCTGGGAGTGGGATGGGGGTGGGGTTGTCCAGTGGATGCCTGTCCTAGATTCTGAGCTCTGCTTCTCACATCTTGAATCCCCTCTTCAGAGACCATCAGCTTGAATGCCCTTGGGATCAACCCACGGCCTCAGGATATACCTGGGTCCCTCTCACAATCTTTAGTTTATTTGGGCTGACCCCTCATTTCATAGAGAGAGGTCTAACTTGTCCAGATCCATCTGGCATTCTATAGCAGCTCTGGGGTCTGAATGTGCAGCTCCCAGTCTCTCACCCTGCAGTGTCAGGGGAGGCTGGGTCCATCTCTGCTGCCTCAGGAGGCTGGTCCAACTGGACCCCAGGGTTCCAGGCTGCTCTGCAACTGGGAGGGGGCTCATGATCCAGTTCTGAGCCCACCTAGGGATGCAGGGATGCTTGGCTTGTTCATCGCTGGCTTATCCTGCTTCTCTGGATTTCAGCTGACTCAAGGGACCCTCATATATATATAAAATATTGGTCTTTTTGAGACAGGGTCTCCCTGTAGCCTGAGCTTGCCTGGATTCCCTATGGATATCAGGCTGGCCTTGGACTCACAGAGATCCACCTGCCTCTGCCTCCCAAGTGCTCGGATTAAAGGCGTGCACCACCACACCTGGCAGGGACCCTCGTATTTTACAGACCAGCTATGGACTCCAGAGCTAGAGATCACCTTAGACCATTTACTCAACTTTCCACTTATCAGCTAAAGAAACTGAGACCAAAAAAAGGAACTTAAGTATTCCCAGAAAGTTAGACAGAACCCTTGCTAACCTCCCCAGAGGGAGACTGCCCAGTTCTTGGCCTGTGACTTTTTAAAAATATATTTTATTTATTATTTTTTATCTTATGTGTATGAGTGTATTGCCTGCATGTAAGTGCACCTGTGTCATCCAATGCCCATGGAGGTCAGAGAGGGCATTGGAGCCCTTGGAACTGGAGTTAGGGATGGTTGCTGGCTGCCATGTGGGTGCTAATGTGGTCCTCTGCAAGAGCAGCCCATGCTCTTTACCACTGAGCTGTCTCTCCAGCCCCCTCTGTGACTTTTTAAAAATCTTTTTTTTTCCTGACTGAATTTATTTATGTTTGTGTCAGTATGTATGCCTATGTGAATATATATGTGTGTGTGTGCACATGCACGTGTGTGTGTGTGTGTGTGTGTGTGTGTCTTTGCAGACAGAAGCCAGAAGAGGGCAGTGGATTCTTAGGAGCTGGAGTTACAGAAATTTGTAAGAAACCCTGGCTTGTTGCTTGGGTGTCAGTATCCTTGATTGAGCAGCAGGCACTTCAGCCCCACCTCCATGATTTCTGTAGTGCCCTTGTTAACCTCCCCAGAGGGAGACTGCCCAGCTGAGACCATCATTGGTGTGTTCCAGAGCAGGGTGTATGTGTGCCTGTACCTGAGCCTGTACTTGTTAGTACATCTGTGGGTGGGCCAAGGAGTGGGGGTAGCCAGCAGGGTTGCTATAGCTAGAATGCATCCCTCTCCTCAACCCCAAAGTGAAGAAGTACCCCCACAATAACACACGTTTAGGCTTTGCCATCTACTGCCTAATGCCTACAGGACTTTCACCCTCACTGCCCGACATGACCAGGAAACCAATAGCCTCTGAGGCTCCATTAGGGCGCCCACCCCAGTTCAGCTTTATACGCTTAGACAGAGAAGTCACCACTAGGGGTCAGTCATGGTACAATGATCCTGATGAGGAGTGGGCCTTTTGGCCTGTCTGGGGTTTTGCCTTTGTGGAGATTTTCCTTGACAAGAGGGCTCCCTTGAAGAAAAGGATTAAGGATCTGAAAGGCAGCCATCGTTGGAATTGTGAACATGTGTGTAGCCACTCTGAGAAAGCATCTCGAATCTAGAAAATGGCAAGCTATACCTACTGTTTCAGAATGTAACAACAGGGAGCAATGGTCAATAGAATGCTATTGGCAGGGTTTTCCCATAACGGAGGAAGGGCATGCAAGATGCTGATGTGTTTATTAAAAGGTGGCTACATATTCATTAGAAGTTGAAACCCTGTCTTTTAGAAAGAAGTCACCATGTACCATCAGTGATTCTCCAATCACAGTTATGAGTCACCTGGGGGGGGGTGGCAAAGAGGATCCAGAAGTGACCCAAAGTGGTAATGCATATACAGTCCCAACACCATCTTTGATAAGAAGGGATCTTGCATGTCCCACCACTTCTACCTCCCCTAACTCCAGTATCTCCCGTAAGTTGGTCTCTGTGGCAGGAAGATGCAGCTCTGGTCCTCTGGGTCAACTGAGACCAAGAAGACAAGCTTGTTCCCAAATACAGTTGCTAGAAATATCCTTAGGTGGGACAACTGAGCTTGGGAGAAAGCAATCCTCATTATGTCTGAACTGTGCCTGAGGAGGACTGAGTGGATCTCTCTTCCAAATGTCAGAGGTTTGTGAGTGGCAGGCTCTAGTTCACCAACTTGCCCTCAGTCAAGTGGGCGGTCCAGGGTTGGAGGACCAGAGGTGGAGGTGCCATAAATGTGTTTTCTGAATAACTTCCGCCCCGCTTAGCAGTCCAGCAGTGTCTGGCACTTGGGAGGGTGCAATAGCTCCGAGTTTCCTTAACTGGCTTGGGGACTGTGGAAGGGACCAGGGTTCCAGGGTGACGGTGGGACAGTGTTTCCCCAAAGTGAAAAATGTTTTCCAGGGTTGGCAGTTGGGGACAGCCTCTTCCCTCTAGGACAATGGCGTTGGGGTGACCTCTCTCCCCAAGGCTAAGCAGCAGATTTGCTCCCAGATACACCGCCCCAATTGCAAGAAAGTCACTCTCTGAGGGCCCAGTGGGGTCCCGGAGTCGGTGTCCCCAGCCTCTGCTCAGAGCCAGGGTCACTCGCCCGGAGATGCTCGCCACTGACAGTGACCCGACGCGCGCAGCAGCGCAGAGGGGTGGCCACGACCCCAAACCTGGTCAAGCCACCCACCAGGGCCCGCCCTGCCAGGGAGCACGCCCCGCCCACGCCCCTGCCACCCTGGCCAGCCTCGGGCCACTCCTCGCGCTCTGCGCGGCGGGGCGTCGCTCCCTCCTTCCCCGAAAAGAACTCACCGCGCCCGCAAAGGGCGACCAGGGAGAAGAGGAGCAACGGGCGCGCGCTCCTCATGGCGCTGGGCGGGTGGCAGCCGCTGCGGGGTCACCCCGGCACTGGGGAGCCGGGAGCCGCGAGTGAGCGCCGTCCGGGTCGCCGAGGTCTGCCGGGAGAGAGCGGCGTACACTAGGACCCGGCGGAGCCCGCGCGCCCCGCGTGGGAAGCAGCCGCGGGCCCCGCCCACTCGGGGGCGGGGCCTGGAGGAGAGACCCCCCCCCTCCCGGCGGGGCGTGTCCCGCAGGCACCCAAGGGTGACAGTGACCGCCTCGGAGACTTCCCACGTTTAGGCAGCATGTGGTATTTGGGAGGGTCCAGTAGCTCGGGGTCCCCTAAACTGGTCTCAGGACTGCGGAAGGGATCAGGGTTCCAGGCTGAGGATGGGCCAGAGTGGACTGCATTCTCCCACCGGCCTCAAACCTGGGCTTGCTAGAGGCAGCTCAGGTGCCTGAAAGGCGCGAGCACCACCACCCCCCACCCCACCGCCCCGTTCCCGTGGCCCTCGCTAAGTTTCAAGATCAGTAGCATTTATTGGGAGTTAGGGGGACAACACAGAACAGATGTCCAAGCTAGAGGGATCCCCCCCGACCTGTGCACCCGAAGGGACCTAGAACTTCAGTCAGGGATCCAGGAGGCCTCAGACTCGAACTCACTCTCTCCCAGTCCTTTACCTCCTCCCTCTAGGCCCCAAAAGGCAACCAAATGGATTCAGGGACTTCTTGGGAAGGGCAGGGCCTAGAGGAGCGACCTATAGCAGACCCCTTCCACCCCTTCTATCCAGACCTCTTAGGCCTGCTTTCCTCTCACTTTCCCCCGTGTTTTCTTGCTCTAGCCTGGCGTGTTGGCCCAGGATCATTAAAAACAAAACAAAACAAAACAAAACAAAACAAAAAACTCAAACCAACTGACAAGCAGAAGCAGTGTTGAAATGGAGCTGACTTCCCCTTGAGGATGGTCTGGAAGATTTAGGTCTTAGGTATCCTTCCTTCTCTCAGCTAAAGCAATAATAGGTGAGATGCACAGAATAGATTCAAAAACATATCCAGACTGAAGATAAGATTATCATCTCCATGAACCAAAACCAGAAAAGAGATGGAGCCTGGCAGATGCTGGAGCCTGGGACTGTTGGGCTTTGGAAGCCAAAGGCAGTGGCAGCTCCCTTGACATAAAGGGAATTAATGGGCTCTTGGTTAGAAGCCAAGAACTCTGAGTGCACCCTGGTCTTTGAAAGGATGCTGGCAGGAGGGGTGGGAGGTCTGCTGCTAATTGGTTGTCTGCTGCCCTGGCTGTCTAGGATGCCTGTTATCCCTGATGTGCCTCAGGATGGGAGCTTAAGACACGATCATACATTTGGAGGCAACTGTAAAAACCTTGTTAGGAACAACAGGTGGAAGAGATGAGGGAGAGAGGGGAGAGGGGGAAGAGGAGGGGGAGGGAGAGGAAGTCAACTACGTAGAAGCCTGGACGACACCATGTGTGGCAGGCTGTCCATACCTTGATTCAAGAACTGAGAAAGTTCTTTCTTCAGCAAAGGAATCTTGTAGGTGTGGTTTTGAGGATTGAGAGGTTACACTGGCTTACAAAGTGGTCTTCATGAGAGGCGTGGAGGGGACCTGGGTGGAGAATAAGATGTGTAGTAGAAGGAGACTTTGGAGTGATGCAGCTATGAGCCAAGGGATGCCAAAGGAGCTCCTGGATGCGGGAAGAGGCAAGAAAGAGGCGCTCTTCTGCAGCTCCAGAGGACTCAGCCCTGCTAATGCCTGGAATTTTAGCCCAGTCTAACTGACTTTAGACTTTTGACCTCCAGACGGTTTGAAAATTTTTTTAGTTAAGACACTAACTTTGTTACAACTGTAATAAGAAACTAATGTACCACCTTAACTAAATCAGCAAAATTAACATCACCAGAAGTGGGACAAAGCAAATTCAGGAACCACTGGGCTGGGGAGACGGTCCTGTGGGTAAGGTGTTTACTGTACAAGCATGAGGACCTGAGTTCAGATTCCCAGGACCCACGTAAAGCAGGGCAAAATAGCAAGTGTGTAATCCCAGAGCTCCTGAGGTGAGGTCGGGGGGGGGTGTTCAGGAAGGTCCCTGGAATCTCACAAGCTAGAGGTGACTGTCTCAAAGTTTCTAGAAGTGGAGGACCAACCCCTGGCATTTTCCGTTGACTTCCGCATGCATGTCATGCCATATTCGAGTTCACATTTAAATACTTGAACATGTACATACACATGCATACATGCACCATGGACACACACAGAAAGATTACCAAAAACTTGGAAACCAGCTGAGGGGATGTCATAGGAAGAGCACAGAGTCACGTCTGCTCATTCCGCCAAGCGCTTACGCTGCAGTCATGAGACTACTCCAGGTAAACCTAGATGAAGAGACCTACAAAATAAGTGACTGCTTTCCAAATGTCAAGGTTATCAAAGCTACAAAAAGACAAAGGGCTGGGCACGGTGGCGCACACCTTTAATCCCAACACTTGGGAGGCAGAGGCAGGCGGATCTCTGTGAGTTCAAGGCCAGCTGGGGCTACAGGGAGACCTTGTCTCAAAACAACAACAACAACAACAACAACAAAAAGACAAAGGATACCAGAGATTTGTGACATGTGATTCTAACAGGGACCCTTTTTCTGTGTGGGGCATTTCTGGGACCACTGGCAGATTAGATGTATTAATGCTAATTTCCTGATGTGGAAATCTATAATTTGGCTTATAAGAGAATATCTTTGTTTTCAAGTAATACACACTAAAGTACTCAGAGATGGTGGTAGCATATTGTATGTAAATATACTTCAATAGCATACACTCACAATGGAATACTATTCAGTCATGAAGAATGGAATCATGTTTTTTGTAGGAAAAGTGGATGGAACTGTAGCTGGAGATCATGTTGAGAATAAGCCAGACTCAGAAAGACAAACATCATATGTTTTGTCTCACACGTGAAATCCAAATAAAAAAAGACATGAAGGTAAAGGGGGACTATTTGGGAAGAGAAGAGGGACCAGGGGAAGGGGAAGGGAGACAGGAGATAAGAGAGGGTGCTTGGGAAGGTATGACCAAAGCACATCAGATACATATAGGAAAATGTTCATAGTGACCCCCCTCCCGCGCCACCTTTTTTTTTTAAGACAGGGTCTCATTATGTAATCCTGGTTGGCCTGAAACTTGCTATGTAAATCAGGCTGGCCTTAAACTCACAGAACTCTGCTTGCCTCTGTCTCCTAAGTGCTGAGATTAAATGTGTGTGCCACCATGCCCAACTCAACCCCATTTTTATTTTACAATTAGTATATACCAATAAAATGTTAAAAAAGATAAGAAATGTAAACTTTCTTAAAAAAGCAAAGCCCTCTGGGAAAGAAACTTCCATATTCTTGCTGGAAGAGGCCTTACCTATATGAGCAAGTAGCTGCCTTTCTATTTGTTAATCAAACTATTAAAAACTTGGCAAGACTTTTGATTTTTTTAATGATGCAGGGGAAATGATTTCTGTGTATGGTACTGGCATTTTCCCTGTAAATCTGAGATTTATGAAAAAATAAAATACATAAAAGCAAAATGAGCCAGCAAACCAAGAACTGAAAACAAAGCAATTGACAGAAAAATAACCAGTGAATTCACTCCAGATGAAACGAGAGAGAGAGAGAGAGAGAGAGAGAGAGAGAGAGAGAGAGAAGAGAGAGAGAGAGAGAGAGAGGGAGAGAGGGAGAGAGGGAGAAAGGGAAAGGGGGAGAGACATGCAGACATGCACATGCAGGCCATGCATGAGCTTCGAAGCTAGAGGGGCATCTGGTGGCCTGCTCTATACTCTCCAGCTTATTCCCTTATAATTCTCATGGAACCTGGAGCTAGGCTGGCTGGCCAACAAGACCTAGTGGTCCTCCTGTCTCTGCCCCTGACAGATTTGGAGTTACGGGAGCCCGTGGCCACATCTAGCTTTTTAAGTGAACTCTGGAGATTCAAACTCATACCCTCATGCTTGTGCAGCAAGTTATTTTACCCACTGAACCACCTCCCCAGCCCCAATTTTTTTTAAATCAAAGAAAAAGAGGTACGGTTATCCGATTACTCACTGATGATAGTATAATCTCGATCCTGGGCTGGAACAAGGTTATCAAAAAAAAGTGTGTTATAGACCCGTATACTTGAGAGTCCTAACCCAGGGGACCATGTGGCCTCCTAAGTTTGACAATCTGGATTGGTACTCTTCACTGTCACTTGCCTTCTATGTGACCTTGAAGAAGTGATTTGCCTTTCCCGTGCTTTAATTCCTTCATATTTAAAGAGGAAATAACCTACCCAGTAAGCCTTCCAGAATGAAAGGAAATAAGTCACAGGACGTGCCTTAATGGCTGCTTAATAGGCCTGGACCACATAACATTTAATAAATGTTAGCTATTACTTCCTATTATGAACATAGATTTTAAAATTCTAAATAAAATAATAGCAAGTGGAACACAGCAGAGCACACACGGAAACTAACACATCATGGGGAAGTGGGCTTTCTTCCAAGGGTTTGTCAATGTCAGGTTGTTCATTGATGTAATATGTGAGCATAACAAATTAAATATTCATCTGATGCAACTGTTAGCACACAGCTTCCCTAATCTAATAAACCTGTAGCGACATACTTAATGGTGAGACTTTAGAGGCAATTTTATTGAAGTCAGACCAAGAGAAAGATGTCTTCCATCACTTTTTTTATTCAGCCCTGCAGTGGAGGTCCTATGTTAAACCAAATGAAATTGCCAATTTTTTAGGTCACAAGCTTCCCAACATCAGCAATTTATATGATCCAACCTATAACAGGAGCAGATAAAGGCAATAAATTTTAAGAATTGGAGAGAAAAACAGCCCATATTTGCAGACAATATGACTGTTATATAGAAAATCCAAGAGATAAAAATAACCAAATGGGGGCTGGGCATGGTGGTGCATGCCTTTAATCCCAGCTCTTGGGAGGCAGAGGCAGGCGGATCTCTGTGGGTTCGAGGGCAACCTGGTCTCCATAGTGAATCTAGGCCAGCTCAGGCCAAAGGGAGACCCTGTCTCAAAAAGACCAAAAAAAAAAAAAAAAAACCCCAAAACCAAATGGATAAGGTATTAGGAATAGTAAGAGTTAGCAAGGATACTGGATTCAAGAT